GCCGGGAATGCTGCCGGGAATGTCGGCTCCCAGCGCGCAGATTGCGCGGGGCAGGCTCGGGAAGGGAAGCGCGAGCAGGGCCTGGCGGCTCCCGAGAGAAAGCCGGGCTCAGCTGCCACCGCCCCGGCACCACCTGCCAGCCCCAGACGGCTCCCAAAGTATCCCAAAATACCCCAAAATATCCCCCCAACCCCGCGCGGGGGGGCGGGCAGGAGGGGCCGCCCCACACCTGCAGGGATGGCACCTCAGGCGAGGTGTCCCCTCTGGGGACAGGAGTCCCTGTCCCCCACAGCATCCCCGGGAGGCCAAATTGTCCCAAATTTGGCGCTGTGGCTGCTGGCCACGGCTCGAGGGCGCCTGGCACGGGAGGGGGCGAATCCCCCGGGCTGGACTCGGCGCCGCTGTCACCCTTCAGGTGTCCCCAAAGCAGAGCAGGCAGCGGGCGTTTCTGCCTTGCCAATTAGCAGGGCTCTAATTGCCGTCTCAGTCGCTCATTAGCGCGAAAAGCCAGATGCTGGGAGGAATTACGGGAGCTGAAAGGATCTTTCTCTCCGCCCCAGGAATATTTAACGGTGTCTCACACGCGTTCCCTTTGTAGCCGAGCATGACTGACGCGGCTCGTGTGGGTGCTCTGTGAATCACTGAGCCCCCGAAGCAGCGGGGACCGAGCTGGGCAGCGCTGGGTGGCACCGCGAGGCTCTGGTGGAGCCAGCTGGGGGGCTCGGAGTGGATTTAACCCCCCAAAAAACGGGAGGAGGAATTGGGGTTCTGCTGTCACAGGCAGGGCTGAGCGTTGTTCACACAAATGTTGGTGTTGGGAGGATGGAGAAGAGCTGGAGACCCCGCAGGGGGGTAGAGCAGGGGTCTCCAAGCTCCTGGGGTGTTGCCAGGCTGTTCTGCACCCAGGAGGGAGCACCCACCCCGCGGGGCAGCTGGAGCCGGGGCCGGGGCCGTGTCCAGCCCAGCTCCCCGATTTTCTGGGCCCTGCAGCTCCCAAACTGCACCTCCGAGGGGACAGCCGGGGGGTTTGGCCTCCAGAAATCCCTCCTCGCTCAGGGGCAGCTCCAGGGCCAGCCTGGGAGAGGCAGATTCCCAAAATGACTTTTGGGGACACGGTTCCAGGCTGGCAGGGGGAGGTGGGAATGTTCAGTTCCTCGTCGCTCACCATCTGAGCAACCCGGTTCTTTCGGGATCACCGAACGCCCTGAGCTGGGAGGGGCCCACGGGGATCAGAGCCCCAACCCTGATCCCACAGGGATCAGAATCCCACAGGGATCAGAGTCCCACAGGGATCAGAGTCCCAGCCCTGATCCCACAGGATCAGAGTCCAGCCCCGATCCCACAGGGATCAGAATCCCACAGGATCAGAGTCCAGCCCCGATCCCACAGGGATCAGAGTCCCCAGCCCCGATCCCACAGAGATCAGAGTCCCCAACCCTGATCCTACAGGATCAGAGTCCCAACCCTGATCCCAGCCATGATCCCACAGGGATCAGAGTCCCACAGGGATCAGAGTCCCCAGCCCCGATCCCACAGGGGTCAGAGTCCCCAACCCTGATCCCAACCCCGATCCCACAGGGATCAGAGTCCAGCCCTGATCCCACAGAGATCAGAGTCCCCAACCCTGATCCCACAGAGATCAGAGTCCCCAACTCTGATCCTACAGGATCAGAGTCCAGCCCTGATCCCAACCCCGATCCCACAGGGATCAATGTCCCCAGCCCCGATCCCACAGGGATCAGAGTCACCCTGATCCTACAGGATCAGAGTCCAGCCCTGATCCCAACCCCGATCCCACAGGGGTCAGAGTCCCCAGCCCCAATCCCACAGGATCAGAGTCCAGCCCTGATCCCAGCCCCGATCCCACAGGAATCAATGTCCCCAGCCCCGATCCCACGGGATCAGAGTCACCCTGATCCCAACCCCGATCCCACGGGATCAGAGTCCCCAGCCCCGATCCCACAGGATCAGAGTCACCCTGATCCCAACCCCGATCCCACAGGATCAGAGTCACCCTGATCCCAACCCTGATCCCATAGGGATCAGAGTCCCCAGCCCCGATCCCACAGGATCAGAGTCACCCTGATCCCAGCCCCGATCCCACGGGATCAGAGTCCAGCCCTGATCCCACAAGATCAGAGTCCAGCCCTGATCCCAACCCCGATCCCACAGGGATCAGAGTCCAGCCCTGATCCCACAGAGATCACAGTCCCCAGTCCTGATCCCAGCCCCGATCCCACGGGATCAGAGTCACCCTGATCCCAACCCCGATCCCACGGGATCAGAGTCACCCTGATCCCAACCCCGATCCCACAGGATCAGAGTCACCCTGATCCCAGCCCCGATCCCACAGGATCAGAGTCACCCTGATCCCAGCCCCGATCCCACAGGGATCAGAGTCCAGCCCTGATCCCAACCCCGATCCCACAGGGATCAGAGTCCAGCCCCGATCCCACGGGATCAGAGTCCAGCCCTGATCCCAGCCCCGATCCCACAGGGATCAGAGTCCAGCCCTGATCCCAACCCCGATCCCACGGGATCAGAGTCCAGCCCTGATCCCAACCCCGATCCCATGGAATCAGAGTCCAGCCCTGATCCCAGCCCCGATCCCACGGGATCAGAGTCCAGCCCTGCACTGACACCCCGACAATCCCATCCCGGCGCCGCCTCGGGGCCGTGCCCATCCCCTGGGCAGT